CTACTAACAGAAATATCATCTTATGATTTCGAGGGGGAGGAGGGGGGCCATCAGTGAACGTCAGTACTAAACAGTGAACTGTGACCCCATGTTTTCTTTCCCCTGGAAATATGTCGGAAATTTCCGACACCCCAAATACTAACCCTTAACACAATAAGGTAAATACATTGTGTTTAGACATTAATTTTACTAACCATACTAATAGTCTAATAATCGAAAATTTAAAGGTCTAGAACATATAAAGAGATGATTGCGTCAGTAGTCACATGTTCACGGTAACTATTCCTTTACCTAACACCTGATAAAAACCTCCGTTTTCAATCTGCTTTCATTTGCGATTGCCATAATAGACTGAGTTTAATCAATAATTAGATAGAATTCTTTGATTTCCTCTTTATAGTAAAATTTAAACCACTGTGAAAAGTGCTTCATGAAGGAAGAGGAATGATCATACTGGGAATTTTATTTCAATATAACACTCCCTAAATTACTTAATTCTTCGTGGTAAGACGTCAGAAACAGTACAAAACTGTTAATATTAATTGAGGATAATCAAATAACTCATAAATTAGCATCTACTTCCTTCCATTCGTCAATTAGCACCGAAAAGAGGTGCCGTGACTATAAGCTATGAGGGAGGTGGTAGGACCCAAGCACTAGGGAGTCGACCAGCACATGGCGCTAGAGACAGACGGACGTCCCACTGTGCTCTCGCTTTTGACGCCATATTTGTGCTTATAAGACAGAGAAGCATGTCTCTGGGAGGGGCAAGTTGAGCAGCAGAGTTGTGTCGCAGAACAAATAAACCACACATCGGACTGCTGCATTCTCCAAGCAAGAGAGAGAACGTACATCCTGGTTGCATAATTTACTTTTGTTGTTACTAGAGCTCTCTAAGATTAGAATTTCAACCGGGTTACGAGGCACACCCAATAAATAAACCCAGTAATCGACTCTTAATCTTCAATGGGTACTATCGAATAGTCTTACAATGTCTCTATAGTTGGTTGTAGATTTCACAATTAGTATATTGTGAAATCCCGGCAGATCTACTGTGACGATGAGAGGTTACTCCACCTGTTCCATCACGCCGGAGTACTGGATGCAGTGACCACGAGGTTTACTTTGCATGCATGATCCACCTGTTTACTACACCCGTGTCCGTGCTAGTCTTGGAAGGATTCTTCTGACCAGTTAAGATTAAGTTTCTTACAATTAACCAATACTAGTGTAGCCTACTAACCAATTCATTTAATTATTCCCCATTTTAAATAAGTAAGTTTACCAATATTAAATCAACTTCCCAAAATTTATGAAGTGGTAACACCTGGCAGGAATATAATAAATTATACAGTCCACTAAATATGAGCAAATCTTAATATAACAAATATCTGCTGTGAAATTTTCACAGGGGGATACAGTTGAGGGCAGGGGGATACGGTTGAGAGTTCGAGGGATATGGTTGATAGTTGGGGATATGGGTTAAGGCGAGTGGGATATGGTTTAGGGTCGGGGGATACTGTTGAGGACAGAGGAATATGGTTGAGGGCGGTGGGAATAATATTGCAGGAGGGAGGGATACGACTGAGGGGGGGGGGGGAATGGTTGAAGGCGGGGGGGGGGGTTATTTCGTGAGCAGGTGGGATATGGTTGAGGGCAGGAGGGATATGGTTGAGGGCGGGGATGATATGGTTGAGGGCGGGGATGATTTGGTTGAGGACGGGGATGATTTGGTTGAGGGCGGGGATGATTTGGTTGAGGGCGGGGATGATTTGGTTGAGGGAGGGGATGATTTGGTTGAGGGAGGGGATGATTTGGTTGAGAGCAGGGGACACGGTTGAGGGCGGGGATGATATAGTTGAGGGCGGGGATGATATGGTTGTGGGCGGGGGCATATGGTTGAGGACGGGGATGATATGGTTGAGGGCGGGGATGATATGGTTGAGGGCGGGGATGATATGGTTGAGGGCGGGGATGATATGGTTGAGTGAGGGGATGATATGGTTGAGTGAGGGGATGATATGGTTCAGGCTGGGGGACACGGTTGAGGGCGGGGATTATATGGTTGAGGGAGGGGATAATATGGTTGAGGGCGGGGATGATATGGTTGAGGGCGGGGATGGTATGGTTGAGGACGGGGATGGTATGGTTGAGGGCGGGGATGGTATGGTTGAGGGCGGGGATGATATGGTTGAGGGCGGGGATGGTATGGCTGAGGGCGGGGATGGTATGGTTGAGTGCGGGGGATGATATCGTTGAGGGCGGGGATGATATCGTTGAGGGCGGGGATGATATCGTTGAGGGCGGGGATGGTATGGTTGAGGGCGGGGATGGTATGGTTGAGGGCGGGGATGATATGGTTGAGGGCGGGGATGGTATGGTTGAGGGCGGGGATGGTATGGTTGAGGGCGGGGATGGTATGGTTGAGGGCGGGGGATGATATCGTTGAGGGCGGGGTATGATATCGTTGAGGGCGGGGGATGATATCGTTGAGGGCGGGGGATGATATCGTTGAGGGCGGGGGATGATATTGTTGAGGGCGGGGGAGGGTTATGGCTGAAGGCGGGGATGATATGGTTGAGGGCGGGGATGATTCGGTTGAGAGCGGGGATGATATGGTTGAGGGCGGAGATGATATGGTTGAGGGCGGAAAGGAATATGATTGAGGGGGGGGGGTAATAGTTGTGGGCGGGGTACATGGGTGAGGGCGGAAATTGAAATTGAAATTGAAATAAGTTTATTGAGGTAAAATACACACAAAGGGATGAGGTAGCTCAAGCTAAGGAATATGATTGAGGGGGGGGGGGTATGGTTGAGGACGGGGTATATGGTTGAGGTGGGGGGGGGGGTATGGTTGAGGGCGGGGTATATGGTTGAGGTGGAGGGGGGTAATGGTTGTGGGCGGGGTATATTGTTGAGGTGGGGGGGTAATGGTTGAGGGCGGGGTATATGGTTGAGGTGGGGGGGGTAATGGTTGTGGGCTGGGTATATGGTTGAGGTATGGGGGGGTAATGGTTGAGGGCGGGGTATATGGTTGAGGTGGGGGGGGGTAATGGTTGAGGGCGGGGTATATGGTTGAGGTGGGGGCGTAATGGTTGTGGGCGGGGTATATGGTTGAGGTGGAGGGGGGGTAATGGTTGTTGGCAGGGTATATGGTTGAGCTGGAGGGGGGTAATGGTTGAGGGCGGGGTATATGGTTGAGGTGGAGGGGTGGTAATGGTTGTGGGCGGGGTATATGGTTGAGGTGGAGGGGGGGTAATGGTTGTTGGCAGGGTATATGGTTGAGGTGGAGGGGGGTAATGGTTGAGGGCGGGGTATATGGTTGAGGTGGAGGGGGGTAATGGTTGAGGGCGGGGTATATGGTTGAGGTGGGGAGATAATAGTTGTGGGCTGGGTATATGGTTGAGGTGGGGGGGGTAATGGTTGTGGGCGGGTATATGGTTGAGGGAAGGGGGTATGGTTGAGGAGGTGGGGGTATGGTTGAGGGGGGGGGTATGGTTGAAGGCGGGGTATATGGCTGACGTGGGGGGGGGTAATGGTTGTGTGCGGGGTATATGGTTGAGGTGGGGGGGGGGGTAATGGTTGTGGGCGGGGTATATAGTTGAGGTAGTGGGGGGTAATGGTTGTGTGCGGGGTATATAGTTGAGGTGGGGGGTAATGGTTGTGTGCGGGGTATATAGTTGAGGTGGGGGGGGTATTTGTTGTGGGCGGGTATATGGTTGAGGGGAGGGGGTATGGTTGAGGGGAGGGGGTATGGTTGAGGGGGAGGGGTAATGGTTTTGGGCGGGTAATGGTCTTGGGCGGGGTATATGGTTGAAGTGGGGGGTATGGTTGAGGGCGGGGTATATGGTTGAGGGCGGGGTATATGGTTGAGGGCGGGGTATATGGTTGAGTTGGGGGGGGGGGGTAAGATTGAGGGCGGGGTGTATGGTTGAGGCGGGGGGGGGGGGGGTTATGGTTGAGGGCGGGTTGGCATGCAAAATTTTCCATTCACTGGTAACAATGGTCGAATAGATTATTACGTCCTGCTTGACCTGACCTCACTCTCTCTCACTCACACACACACACACACACACACACACACACACACACACACACACACACACACACACACACACACACACACACACACACACACACACACACACACACACACAATAACAGACGGGGCGGGGATGTACTTTATCAGTACACACTGTTGATTGACAGTGTAGAGGCGGGACCAAAGAGCTAGAGCTCAACCCCGTCAAGCACAATTAGGTAAGTACTTAGTCTAGGGATGACCGGGTATAATAATTGCTAATACTGAGTGACTCTTAATATAATGCTTTATATAAATATTATGAATCATAATAGCATTAATAATTAATATTTTACAGCTCCTTTATTTAATAGATTTTATTTATATTCGTTAATTTTAATTAGCTGCATCATCACAATTAAGGCTAAACTGAAGAAGAATACAATAATTAGTGTTTACTAAAAGGCTCAAAGGCCACAAGGAAATTATTTACCTGCTGTAAAAGGCTATATAATTATATGATATAATTTTCTCATCATAACTATTACTATTATTCCTTGATCTGAAGCATGATACATTCTTACTTCAAAAATTATGTACAAAAATGTTATTTATATCACCTGATCAACCAGACTGTGACTCATGCGTGAATAGTCACGTGAGCATCAACACCCACCGGTGACTGAACGCCGAGGAGTCACGTGAGCACTAACACCCCCTGGTGACTGAACGCCGAGTAGTCACGTGAGCCTCAACACCCCCTGGTGACTGAGCGCCGAGTAGTCACGTGAGCACCAACACCCCCTGGTGACTGAGCGCCGAGTAGTCACGTGAGCACCAACACCCCCTGGTGACTGAGCGCCGAGTAGTCACGTGAGCACCAACACCCCCTGGTGACTGAACGCCACGTAGCGTGAGACCTGAGTTTCCACGTTTTCTGTTTTTGGTGGATATTCCTGCGCGAGGTTAATGCTCTTGACGTGGCAGGAGCGCCGGGTCCTCACCACTAGTGTAATAACGGCTCGTTTATGAGGAAGGAGCAAGGACTTGTGTGTTGTTTGACGGATATTGTGTCTTGGTGAACAGTGAGTAATTCCAACGGATTGGAAGGAAGGTTGAAGGAACTGAATATTTCTCTTACATTGCTTCGTCATATATTACAACAAGCAAACTTCAGTGAAATGTTTCATTGAGGAAGTTTTGAGCTAATGCGACAATAGTCATCGAGAACGGCCGCTAGTTTCCTTGGCATTGATAAGTGTACATATTTCATTTTATAGTTTTGTTTAAGAACTGACATGAATGAATAAATATATGCACTAACCGTTGTACTGCCGTCAGCTCGTTGTATGCGGTAAGCCCTATATGTACACATGAAGTGATAAGAGCTTCTATTGAGTTGTCGACTTGAGTAAATTTGCATACGCAACTTGAGAATTTGCAGGAATATGAAGTATTTTTTGGGTATTGGTATATTGATTGTGGTGTTGGGTGGGCCAGTACTACCTGCTGGCGGCCCTGCCCTAGACATGGCCAGGGTTATGTTCCCTGCTGGCATCCACCCGGCCACTTATCCTCCAAACTTTCAAGCTTATACGTCTGAAGTGGACACCGACGACAACCGCTTATATGGAAGCAGGCAACCGGTAACCAGTACTAGACATGTTGACGAAGCCCACAACGCTACACACGGGCAACACACTCGATTGGAAACCTTGAAACGCATATTAGATGGCGATGCTGCTGATGCAGAGATCATCCAGTTCTATCGGCTTACACGAGAGTTCTCCAGCATCCGCGACCTTCTAAATAACTTTAAGCTGAGAGAAAGCGAGGCAAACGTCTTGCCCGCCGGCAGAGTGTCTGGTATGGGTGATGGACAACGGCGATCACCGACTGGCAAGAGGAAGGTGGAACACACTGAACAACTTGACGACGACGACGACGACGCCGCCAACTACGATGCTCTTGGTACGTACGTCCGTATTATTGTAATGGTTCTGGGTTTAAGACATATTGGCCATATCTTCTAATGATTACCCTTTATCACCCATAACCATGTTATTGATCAATAAATATTTGAGCAATATATAAAAAAAAATTGACAAACATCTTGCGTCTACCTTATACATACCATTATCCATATCTCAAGAGTCGTGATTCTTTATATCGCCCCAATTATCAGGAGGGAGGGAGTGTTATCAGGGAAAGCACCAAGCCATTACCACTATATAGCACTTGGAGGGATAAGTATTTGGGATAGGACGAAGGAATGTTGCCCCACCACTTGGGAGGTTGGTGATTGAACGCAGACCTGCATGAAGTGAGATCGTCGCTCTACGTCCAGCCTAAGTGGTTGGGACCCATTATCAGGCGTAAACGTGAAGCTAGTGTGAAGTTCTCGGAAGGCATAAGGTGCTTTAAAATAGGATAAAAGATGGAACAATGTTAAAGCAATTTTGCTCTATATATTAAAATAGAGCTTCAAATGCCGGTCAAACAAAGAGGAAGGTCGTTGCTTTGCCAACCAGTTTCGACCAATTGTCATTTTAAGAATTTGACCCATTGAGTTCGACTTTGGTTATGCTTAAGTGCCTTGTAAACTTTTAACTAGTTTAGTTTAATTATTAATGTGTAGGGGAAAAGGTAATCAATTTATACAGATAAATATAAGGCGTTTTCTACTATACAGTTCATTTTGAAGTCGGACTTAATGGTACTAAACTTTTTTAAAAATTGAGTGGATAACGTCAGATCTGCAGCCATCGCACAGTATATAGAGGATGTTGATTTAGCATTAATGCTAAACAATGTTAGCGTGCCTGACCTCGTCAGTAGCGTTATTTTCCCCTTGTAAACGCCAATGGGGCAGGTGCACCAATGGGGGCACAACCAGTGCCCCCATTGGTGACTGGGAATCAATGACACAGTGACATTGGAAATCGGTGTCACTAAACATGCTACTCATAAAATAGCCGAAACATAGGTCTATGAAATTTAAATTTCTGGGCAAATATTTTTATCCTAAGCTGTACTAGGATATAAAGAGTTGGCGTTATCTATTTTAAATATCATGTAGGGTAAAATGAAACGTTATTATGATTTATATAGTTCAATTCTATTACAGTATGTTACTAAATTTCATAATACTGTGAGCTTAAGAGTATTCTTAGACTAGGAGTAAATATTAACTGTTTGAAGTGACAATTATCATATTTATTCAATTGTTAAAATATTATGGTGAGGCTACATCTGGATTGGTTGAAATGGTTAAGTCAACAGAACTCTTCTAAATTAGAGTTGAAGGTTAAACACACGTCCGTTCATCACGGTAGTATAACATTTTTATTCAAACATTTAATTGAATAGTTGTCTTAATTTTGAATGGAAGTGCTGCTTTAGATTGAATGATATATAAATGTTGCAAATATACATGATTTTTAGGAGGTATTCGGGCAAAAATTGGAACATGTAAAGCAGATGCACTTACGCGTGTATTTCGATGAAGCCTATGTATCGCTTACTAATATTTAGAAAAAATTGTCATGGAAAGGGATAAACCTAAATTTAAACACAAATAACGCATACATTGAAATCAAGGAAACTTATTATCTGAAGATCCTTGAAACAAGACGGCGTGCGTGTGGGGGCCAACCCCAGGGTGCTGGTTCAAGATTTTATGAGGGAAACATTTTATGACTTTCACATTTTTTTTTTTAATACGAAACTAGTTTAGAGTCCACGAATTTAAATATTTCTTTCCTGGCTAGTGAAGAAAATAAAATGAGTTGTACATATATATACTTTATAAATACAAATAAAAAAATATGGACCCTAAATTTTAAAAAGGCATCCATAAAGTTTGAACATCGGATAATTAACTTGTGAATCGGTTTATTTACAGTAAATATTTTTAGCATGAAGTTTTTTTGCCTAGTTAAGCTATTTTGAGGTAAAGTGGACTTTAATCCCTGAATGTTCCATCTTGATTCAGCGTTCCATTTTCCCTATGAGGAAAATCCGTGTATTTACTAGTTTCCCCCTTCGGTGTTGAAGGATGTGGCATGAGCAACGTGCAGGCGAGGATCCTCGGGGGAAAGCTGTCGTCGTCAGGAGACTGGCCCTGGCAAGCTGCGCTCGTCCACGTGCCCTCCAAGTCAGCCTTCTGTGGGGCGTCCCTTATCGGCAAGCAATTTGTCCTCACCGCTGCTCACTGCACCAATGTGTGAGTTAGTTGATCTTCCTTGTGTACACATACGAAGCCTGTAATAATTTAACATCTTGTACTATTTCTTTTAGATATAACATAATGAACCCAGTTACAAATAACATGGAATAATGTTTGTTAGTCTCCTATACTAATTTAACACTGAATAAAGTGCTTATTAGTCTGGCAATCATTTGCAATATAGCCTGTAAGCCTATCGTGATTCTTAATTTGATTAATGCACCTGCAACGCAAGCGTATTGTCTAGATTTACTGAAGTAGCTGATGGAGAGTTATATACCTGAATACGGCTTCGCACCTTTTAACCAACTTAGTTCTCTATATACCATCTTTAATTTATTTCTGATATCGGCAGGGAATTGCCTGTAATTACTGTACAACTAGAACAAATGAATATAAAAGACGATGGAGAAATGTCGCATTTGCTTAACATACCACGAATTCCTCTCCTCAAGCAGTTATTATTGTTCAGTTTCAATGTGCAGTTCTCACTGGCTGAAACAAAAGTTAACAGTATGAATGGCAATTTGATTTCAGGTAATATCTCTGGCGCAGTCACATTGTGACTTTGTTACAGCGCTTGATCCCTTGAACAGGCGTAAATGTGCATTACTGTGCATATATAGTAAAAAGTCAAAGGGTTTGGGTAAGACGTTGCTTGTGCTAATATACAACCATCTCATTAATGGTGAATTAGTGTGAAAGTCTATCATATTGATAGATTTTGTAATGTTAAATGTTAAGCGCTTGATCCAGTGAACTAGTTTCTAAAAATACCGATTTTATAAACATGTGCAAATGTACATAACTTGCAGTTACATTTATCTTTCATGTTCTTTAAAGAATAAGAGTGCAAGAAATTAATAGTTATCACAAGTTCGTGTTAAGACAGTTGCAGTCTAGAAGACATTGGCAGATAAAATTGTGGCATGTAGAATGAATAAAATATATTTGGTTAGCACTAAAGATGTATACAGTCCGTAAAACCTTAATTATTTGGAACTAGATGTACCTGGACATGCGTTGCTGAGCCACAGCAGCCCTCCTGTCCCCCCCCCCATCCTCCCCACCACTCCTCTCTCCCCCCCCCCCATCCTCGCCACCACTTCCCCCCCCCCCCCCCCCCCATTCCCCTACCCATCAGACTACCGCTGGAGGGGGTCACCCTTGAAGGTGGCAAGCTGGGTGTCCAAGCTGGGGCGAGGGGTGGGGGGTGGGGTTAAAAAGGTCTTGCACAGGCTTGGAAGAATGTACAATGCAGTATGGAAAGAGGGGAGGGGGTGAGTGCAACTTTGAGGCTGCTCGGGAAGGTAATATCCATTGGCACCCGACCCCCCACGTTTGAAAGAATGATGCACGATACCAAATGACTTCACACAACCACGTGACAACCAGGCCTCTTGTTGGACCGAGATGAAAATTTGGGTTCGGTAGTCCTGGCTACATTAAACCCAGACCAGGCATTTTCTTTGGCTACCCATAACTGATCCTCTACTCCCCTCCCGGTTTTGTAGGGTTAAGTCCCAAGCCTCCATTGGTGAGGCCTCGTCACCTGGAGTGCCTCCATATTTAGTTGCGACAACTGTGCTTTTTATTCCCTCCTTAGTAGAGTCCCACCTCGCCTAAAGACGTGATTCCTTCTAACACTCCTCGATTCCATGATTTGTTTATGCTACGTGGCCTATTTGTCGTGATCATTTGTCGTGGGGAGCCGGTCGGCCGAGTGGGATTTGTGATCCTGTGGTCCTGGGTTCGATCCCAGGCGCCGCAGAGAAACAATGGGCAGAGTTTCTTTCACCCTATGCCCCTGTTACCTAGCAGTAAAATAGGTACCTGGGTGTTAGTCAGCTGTCACGGGCTGCTTCCTGGGGGTGGAGGCCTGGTCGAGGACCGGGCCGCGGGGACACTAAAAAAAAAAAAAAAAGCCCCGAAATCATCTCTAAGATCACCATACTGTTGATTTAAAAATGCATAAGCACGTATATTCGGTAGGTACCCCATTTTGTTGAAAACTCGCCTGGATTTTCATATGCATTGTTGCATATTCTCGAGGCAGCCGGACGCATAGCTACTTTTTCTTGCATTTGGTGAGTTTGGCGCAAGATTAATAAATCTCTCGACAGAACCTTCCCCATGGAGGTAGTTTACATAACACCCCCCCCCCCCCTCTTGTCAACTCCGGTAGGATCTTTCTCTCATAATTCATGTCGGTACCTGGTGCCTCGTTTAGGGTTATTCACTATCTACACCTCTGCAATACATGTTCACAACTTGGACATAGGGTCCACAAAGTACAGTAGCGAGAAGTCCCTTTGCCCTTTTTGTGGTGACCGGCAGCCCACTCTAAGATGGGTTGCTCTTCTCCCAAAGCTCACTGATAAACTGTGCCAAGGACGCTCTGAATTCTCCTGCACAATTCTTGTACAATATATATGAACAAACCATCCTCGTTATAAAACTCCCGATCATGTCTTCCCCTGCCATGGCTTGTATCGCACTACTCTCCCTTGCCTCCTTCCCTTCCAACGTTCACAACTTTTTCAAAGCCTTGAAACCACAACCATTCCACTAGTTTCTCTTTGATCTGAGACCAAGGATCACCAACCTACATTTCCTTTCTTGTTTCCCAGCCTTTAACTACCTACCTTATTTGTACCACTTCTCCACCTCCCTCTTCCATATCCACTGTGACTTTCACCTCTCCTCCCATCTCTTCTCAGCCCGCCCCTCTGTCTTCTGGCCCTGATCGACAAAGGACCGTCCAGCCAGATATCTAACCGATATATTCTCGTAACCATGTTGATGATATCCACTGTCGTTCCCCATCCCTGCCTGAGACTGGAGACTGGAGGCTGTAGTGCATTACGCAGCTGCTTGCAAGCACGTGTCAGAAATGTAAACTCTTCCTCCCCCAGCAGGTAAATAGGTTTGTTCCTGTCTCTCCTCCCATCTCGGTAGTGGCGTCTATTTGCCTCACTAAGGATGCTCCCATACACCTTCATTCCACCACTGGTGCTCTGTCCTTGCTCAGCCCCACTTCCTCCACGCTATGACCCTCTCGACTCGCATGCGCTCTTTCCCAATATCCTCTTGACTATCTTCGCTGGATAATGGCCCCCTTGCCCTAATTTAACTGACCAATAGTTTTTCCTAGGTGCCTATGTCCATTGCTCTTAGACTTTTATCCCCATTATCTCTGTTCTTTACCATGTCGATATTTCGGTGGAATATGTGGCTTTTATGCCAGTTGTCATGAACTCCTAGTCTGTGTTCACCTCGGTGTCTAGCAGCCGATGCTTGGCGCTTATCCTATTCACTTGTGATGAGGCGGAGGTTAAGTCTGTTGCACTGGTAAGTCGAGGCAGCGTGTGTATTCTTGACTTGGTCTATGGCTGTTAAAAACTATTTACATTACCCACAAGACTAGCAAGAAACGTGCCCATTTTGCCAAGAGTAACAGAGCCAGTTACTAATAGTTAAAGGGTATTAAAAACTCGTCAGTTTCTTCATTTCTTCCAACTAGTATAGTTTGAAACTGCAACATCAATTAATCTTGAATCAGAAGTTCGTAAATGTAACTAGCTGCAAGTCGTCCAGAAGGTAATGTAAAAAGATTTCGGCTTGTTAATTTGGAGCACATGGTGAACTTTGAGAATAGTAAGTGTTGAAAGTGGAGGATCGTTCTAAATTATTAGCTTCTTATTCTGACAGTTAGGTTAGCAGGTATTTAAAATGGAAAAAAATCTTAGGAATATTTAAAACATTACAATATTTTAGAATTTATACACAGGAGTTAATATAGATTATTAACTTCCATTTTTTCTTACCGTAGTGTCTAGGGTACTATGCAGTAGAACTAAGGGCGAGTTGGATAATATAATGTTAATATTGTCCATTGGTTTACAGGCTGTCGGTGCGCCACATCAATGTGATGCTTGGTGGTCACGACGTTACTCTCGACACGGAGGAAGGTCGACAAGTCTACTCCATCTCTCATATTATCCTTCATGAAAAGTTTAATGCCAAGAACCTGGCTAATGACGTGGCTCTCATAAGGCTCTCGGAGCCCGTCAACATGACCCACAGGATACGTCCTGTGTGTCTCCCAGATACCGGTAAGTCTTTCACATGTCTACATAACTTAAAGCTAGGAGAAATTACCACAAGATTAAATAATCCGGTTTTGTAATTTTAAGCTATTGGCTTCATGCACCTCTTTTTCCACCTCTTGGCGCTTTATCCACTGTTTGTACCCCCGCCTCTGTCCTATCTTTCTTCCTCAGACTTTCCTTCACTTTTTGCATTTGGCCTTCCAGCCCAGTATCCCTCCTTCTCCAAAACACTTGTTGCCATTCTCGGTCTACCTCCTTGTACCTTGACATAACTACATCTGCCTGAAAAGTACGCCTGGTTCCTCTCCCTCACTGGTGGGTAGCGCTTTTGACCAAATAAGTTTTCCTTGTTCCTGTATCTCCTCCCTTCTCGGCAGCGGAGCTGACTGACCTCATGGGAGTTCTTGGTGCTAAACCTGGTGCTGACCACGATCGGGAGCGTCCACGCTGCAGTTTGTACTTTCTCAGCCCTCGTTTACTGCTCCTACCCGGGACCACTCCCTTCCTGGACCTTATTGGAACCCATGTTCCTTGCCACAAGCCACTCGACCCACCAATCTCTGACATTACCTCTGCCCCCACCAACCCTCTGATTTCCCATAATATTGTTCCCTGTATACCTCCTTTCCTTTTGCTATTCTCTTGCTTCGGTGCTGGCTTAAGGAGCTAATTCTTTTCACCGTGCACCCTACTCTTACCTGGCAGTGTCGTTACTTCTTCTCACTAGTTCGTTTTTTCTCGGACGCCTTCCTAGATGCTGGCTTCAACTCTGTTCCTTGCTGTGCTACCCGTGTCACATGGTGCCGTTTCTTAGCAGAATTTGATTTCTCTAATTTTATGCCATAAGTGCATGGTCTGGAAAACGTTCCGAAGCCGGGAAATTCCTGAATCTTTAGTTGTTCTGGAGGGTATAAGTGGTTGCTCACAAGGCCATCTGGTTGGCTAAATGTGAGTTGGAAATCCTACGTGTCCTCCACTACTGACCGTCTTCTCCCCTATATCCAGAAGAGAATTGGCAGGATTTATGGTAAATCTGTTCAACATGACTTCTGTCAATCATTCTTCGTGGTTCCATTGTTGCAGATCGTGTAGAGAATAAAATGGGTTTTAATTAGGATTCGATAATTCTTTTCTTTACTTTTAAGCCCCAATTATGGAATCTTGTGCATTAGACTTTTGTACAGTCCTCCACCGTTCCTATAACTCGTAACTACTGTTGAACTCAATCCACCTGATCCCTCTGCAATTCGTCAGTGGCAGGCACAGACGGTATTAAGAGATACTCGGTCCTCTCGTGTGCATTGTGCAGTATATGGTGCATGTGTGACTGTATTTTTGGAAAACTGCTTCAGTCCCGAAGTCTGGCTCAACCAGTTGATTTTTCTAGATAGAAAACCCGGTAAACCAGGGTCTTCCAACTAAGGATTTTGGTTCCATTGTCCTATCAAAATTGCTTGTAAGCTTTTTGAACATGGTTACTCGTGCTGGCAAGATATACTCCACTCCTGCCTATAAAGGTGTACTCCCCCCCCCCCCTGTACATAGTCCAGAACCCCATAGTTTTATTTGGTTGTTTTAAGGAAAAAATTAAGCCAGAATATATTTTTGGTTAAGTGGGATGGAGGTTACGAATCCCAACCTGTGAGGCAAGATGGCTGAAACGCAAAGAAACGAGGAATCTTTTTCCGCCAGAAGCAGGGACACTGGGTTTCTGGGAAAGTTGGAATTAAGATTGGCTAGCCGCCTGGAGCGCGCCAATTAGAACGTCACCGCCCTCGTGGTCAGCAGGCGACTGGAACAGCTTCACTGCATTACTAGCGTTAGTCATGACCGGCGCGCCATTTTCTCTCCTCAAGCTAGTAGTCTAATCCGTGAAGAGGACATCAGCTAGTAAAATAAATCAAAGGCGGTGTAGACACCGAGCAACTGTCAAAGAATTGTCCAAACCACGAGAAGTGGGACTTAAAAGGCCCAAGGTCTCTGTTTGACAAGAGGGCAGGCTGGAGAGGGCAACAGAGTGGCCTTCAAGCCGCTCTGAGTTTGAAACTACAGCAAACAAACGGTCCTGGTAGACGAATGGCCGGTTGCGAGGAAACCTGGTAATGTAAACTCGAAGAACACCGCCCTGCAATGGGGACAGCCGATGGGAGTGCATTTGGAGCGAAGTTTTACATTTTTTAGAAATTTAAGTTTTGGTATTTGAAGGCTTCGGCGGGAATGCGGTTCCATGGTTTTATAACCCTGTGGTGGAAAAATGCATGGAAACACTGATTGGGTTTCAGTTGAATCCCATGTTACATTACTTTTGACCATGTGGTGTAGTGGGCAAGGGCGGGCAGCCCGTCCTCCCAACCCATCCTTGACTCGGTATTTACATCCAGCGGTCGACCCCACAGACGCATTCAAATTTTTTTACATGCTGTTCATTCAAAACGGGAATGTTCTCAAATATTAATTATAACAGCATACTAGCTGTACCCGGCCACGCGTTGCTGTGGCTCGGCAATGCATGTGCATTGCAGAGCCACATCAACCTTCCCCCGTCTCAGTTCTTCCCACCATTCCCCTCTGTCCCCTCGTCCTCCTAACCATCACCTACTCCCCTGTCCCCTTATCCTTCCTACCATCACCATGTCCCATCATCCTCCCCACTCCCCTGGCACCCCCCCATTCTCCATTCCCATCTCATCCTCCCTACCATTCTCCACTCCCGTTCCCTTGTCCTCCCCATCATTCCCCACTCCCTTGTCCGATGCATTCCCAAATGATTTGATGTTCCCATCACTGAAATATAGGGAGGTTAAACATAAGGAAAAAAAATAGAAAACAATACTCGTGGAATAAACGGTATGGTAAATACAGGTAGATTCCAACAGTTACGTAAAATTAAATTGAAATGAAATTTTTGAAAATTCAATTTCGGTGCAATCAGATACTTTAAAATGGTATCGTAACATAATTAGTATAGCGTGTATTGCTCTAACGCCCAACAGATAAAGTGGTTTCTCAAAAACGTTTTTCCTCGCAGGTGAGGCATGTATATAGGTGTAAAAACCGTGCCTATTCGAATGCAACGTTGTCAAAATTTGACGGCAATCGGTGAAGAACTTTCGGAGATTAGTGATTTTGAACAAACGGACATTGACATTTTTATTTATATAGATTGTGCATATATAGGCATAGGTTAGGTGTTAAGGTTCTGTTGGCGATTATTTGCAGTACGTGGGTGAAGCATTTATAGCGTTGTGGTTCGAACAGAACTCGTCAGTGAAGCAAAAGTTCTGGAAGTGTTCGAACAAAATCAGTAAAGTCGTATGTAAATGGTATCATTCATAAAGAAGGGGGTTTGGCAAGTGCATGGAATCGCTTTTAGGTTTTTGTTTGGAGGACGGGCTGCATCCTCCAAAGACGCATGTGATTCCATGTACATGCCAAACCCCCCGTTTATGTATGAAAACATGTTTCCACAAGACTCTCAACTGATTTTGTTCAAAAACTTCCAGAACAAGTGCTTCACTGACGAATTTTGTTCGAACCACAACGCTATAAATGCTTAATCAAAGTACTACAAATACAAATAAACGCAAATAGAAACTAAACACCTACCCTAATCTAACCTATACCTCTATATGCACAATATTCTAATATAATACTAGCTGTACCCGGCTACACGTTGCTGTGGTTCGCAAACGGCAACCTTCCTCCGTCCCCTCGTCCTCCTATCCATTCCTCTCCCACGTCCACTAGTCTTCCCCACCATTCCCCACCCCAGCGTCCCCTCGTCCTACTAACCATTCCCCGTCCCCTCGTCCTCCCTACCTCCTCCCCCCCACCCACCCCGTCCACCTCATCCTCCACACCATTACCCCATCCCCTGTACCATCGTCCTCCCCACAGTCCCCCCCACTCCCATCCCCTCGTCCTCTCCACCATTCTCCACTCCCTCGTCCGATGCATTCCGAAATGATCTAATGTTCTCATCGGGAGACGGGGAACATAAAATGATCTGATGTTCCAATTGCCTAAATATAAAAAGTTAAAGAAACGAAATGAAAAACGATGAAAAAATTAAACTTTACTCACGAAATGAATGGTATGGTAAACACAGCTGAACTTTATGCTATTCTCTCTGCCCTTCGTCTCCTGTTTTCTGTCACTTTTGTAGTTGCTGTTGACTCTTGTAGTGCCCTCGCGGCTCTCGGGTCATCTAATACAGTCCATTCAGTGGTCGTAGAGATTCACCATTGGCTGTTTAAATTCCAGTAAATATAAATCGGTTGAGATTTCCTAGGTTCCCATCCATATTGGTCTCTCTTTAAACGAGCGTGTGGACGTTGCCACTAGGGAAGCTGTCTGCTCTTGTTCCATCTCCCGTAAAGGAATTCCCTATTCAGACTTGCTCAGTTATTCCATCCTTACCCATTGGCAAGTTTGTCTTCTGTTACTGGTAACAAACTGTTCTCTAAAAAGTAGTCTCCTCGTTGCCTTCCTCCTACCTCCATAACCAGTGGTGGTAAACAGCTTGGGTGAGGCTGTGTATTGGTCATGCGCGCTTAACTCATGGTCACTTAATGGAATGCCGCCCTGCACCTTATTGTCCAAATTGCATTGTCCCTCTTATGGTCGTGCATATCCTTGTTGAATGTCCTGACTTCCAGGACGAGCATGTCTTACTTTCCGACTGTCCCTCACGGTCGCTTGTCCCTCGGTAGAATTCTTGGCGAATTGGATACTTTTGAACTAGATAATTCGCCTTGTGCGTTTCTGTTCTCGTATTGGCATCCTTGGGGATATTTAGCGCCCTCTGATTATTCTGCACATTTGATGATACTACATAACCTTCCCGGTTTGGTGCCTTTGGTGCCGGTTTGTCAATGCAATCGATAACATTGAAATAGAATCGTAACATACTTAGTATAGTGCGTGTTGCTGTTACGTGCAACAGATGGTGCTGTTTCTTAATGTTTTTACCTGTCACAGGTGTGGCATCTATACTTACGAAATGAATGGTATATTAAACACTGCTCAATTCCAATGCAATGTCACACAAAATAATCAAAATGAAAATAAATCGAAATTTATGAAAATTCAGTTAATCGGTGCAATCTGAAACATTGAAATGGAATGGGTTTCTAATACTCCCTATGGCTCCTCCTGATTTTCTCATAGGTACATCACGTTAATTGATTTCATTGTGCAGGGTCAAAATTTTGCAACCACGCACATACGTGTAAAATGTCCGGATTTTCAGGATGGTAGTTTTGCTGTCCTAGTGTCTCCGTCACTTGTCCCTCGGTACAATCCTTGGCGAGTCTCTTGTTGCTTGCCTTTTCCCTTTTTGTCCTCTTACTGGCATCCTGAGGGATGTTTGGCTCCTTGTGAACATATTGCGACAGTGATGCATTGTAATCCCTGCCTGGTGACAACTACTAACCCGCCGCTAGTTATAATCTTACGTTACAGCTTGTGTAAAATTTGTAATATCTTTCGCAGCATATACCATAGTGGTGAGCCGGGACAATCACTCTCCAGTGAAACATTCACAGTAGCACCTACTGCTTCATAGTAATATGTAAAGGGCTTTTTGAGTACTTTTAAAACACTAATGTTCCGTATGTCTCTTGTCCACCTTCCTGGTATTCCTCTCATCCACTCAACCTTGAATAAATTAAAACAATTTTCATTTAAAATCTAAACGTCATGAAATTCTTATTTACAAAAAATTTCACTCGACAACTTTAATATTTCTGAATTTATTTAATATAACCTCCGCCCACCATTCATGACTTTCTTCAACTCCTAGCTTATCTAAATATTGATCTTTGGATGTTCAAAGATTACAGGGAAATTTAGTGATTGATACTAGTAGGACTTCCACACATACCTCTTGCCTTATCTCTTCAGGGATCCTAGTATCCACATACTTCAGGTCTGTTCCATACATAAGATACCAAGTTCACATTCTTAGTATTCTTATGAAGACCTTCCTCGAGCCATCCGTATGGACTGGACGGTGACCTGTCATGGGGACATGACACAACACTGGACTACTTGTACATAAACTTCTAACTTGTTACACAAGCAATATTTGGATGTGCTTTATATACTGTGTGAAGCTTTATCACTTTAAAATTATTTTGTCTTATCCTTCCTTTCAGAAACATTTTATACTTGCTTTAATCATGCTTTCCCTTTCTATAAAATATAAACTGTAAGAGGGCAGCACCCAGAAAGTACAGCATTTTGACTATTCCCGAAGTGTTAAGAATCTGTATCTGAAATTCAGACTGGGACGTTCCGCTGGCTGACGGAGCTGATGTAGTGACTGGAATTGTAGCTGGTTGGGGCCTTACCAGAGAGGGAGGACTCCCATCCCCGGTTCTTCTCCAGGTAGGTCTTAGAGATTCTGTACACTCCCGTGCATCGTGCAGCACTTACTCTCCTCCTCCTCCTCCTCATACCTCGTGCCTCTGTAACGAATTATAAAATTGGCTTAACTGTGTTGGTAATTTTCCGGTACACTTTTATAAAGTTACTAGCTGTACCCGGCCACGTGTTGCTGTGGCTCAGCAACGCATGTGTTGCTGAGCGACAGCAACCTTCCCCTCTCTCCTAGTCCTCCCAACCATTCCCTCCTTCCCCCCGTCCTCCCAATCAATCCCATTCCCCCATCCTCTTGTCCTCCCCACCATTCCCCACTCCACTGTCCCCTCGTCTTCCCCACGATTACCCACTCCACCATCCCCTCGCCCTCCCTACCATTCCCCCGTCCCCTCTTCCCCACCATCCCCCCCCCTCCCCTTGTCCTCCCCACTAGTCTCAATTCATCCGTTCCCTCGTCCCCACCATCCCCAACTTCTCCATCCCCTCGTCCTCCCCAGCATTACCTCCCACCCCCAGTCCTCATTCACCCCACCATCTCCCACTCTCTTCCCCTTGTCCTCCCCTCTTCCTTGTCCGAGGAATTCCCAAATGATCTGATCTGACTTTCTTATCAGAAAATTGGGAACATAAAATGATCTGATGTTCCCATCATTGAAAAATAAGAACAGCTTAAAAAACGAAATGAAAAGCAATGAAAAAATAAAAAATAAACTATACTCACGAAATGAATTGTGTGGTAATCAACACAGCTCAATTCCAGTGCAATGGTAAACAATAATTAAATCAAAATGAAAATAAATCGAAATCTATGAAAATTAAATTTATCAATGCAATCGGAAACATTTAAATGGAATTGTAACGTGTAGTATAGCGTGTGTTGCTCTTACGTGCAACAGATAATGCTGTTTTTCAAAGAAAAACATGTTTTTACTTATCACAGGTGACACCTATATAGTAGCTATATAAAGACACGTGCATATTTGAATGGAACGTTGTCAAAATTTCAAGGCGGCCGGTGAAGAACTTTCGGAGAGTAGTGTGTGTTGCTCTGCCAAACAGATAGCGATGTTTTTCAAAAAAAGCATGATTTTTTAATGTCACAGGTGAGGCATGTATATAGTAAGTATATAAAAACACTCTGCTTTTCGAATGCAACGTTGTCAAAATTTCAAAGCAATCGGTAAAACGGTTTAAAGATTTCCTTCACATGGAAAAACACATGAAACAGTCTTTCAAAATATGCATGATTTTTCCTGTCACAGACGTGACATCAACATAGTTTGTATATAAAAACCTGCTCGGATGCAAATGGAACGTTGTGTGAAAATTTCAAAGCAATCGGTGAAGAACTTTCAGAGATTTGAGATTTTGAACAAACGAACATTTCCATTTTTATTTATATAGATGTCTAACAATATTTAAAAAATGGTTTATAGGTAAAAATGTGACATTGCTGAGGCGAGATGGTCTGTTCTCGAGGGTGGGGGTTTTCAGGTTATTTGTCTGGCTTATAATTGTGGTGTTGCGCGGGTATCTTAGGAAAGGGGGGGGGGGTAGTTTTTTTTTTACACAATACTAGAATTTGCCAGATTTTTTACCTTTAATTTTTTTACCCGATATATCTGAATTTACCTGATGGCCACTCTGTAGTTTCGATGAAAACGAAGCCTGCTGCTTGTCAAAGAATCCACCCCCCCCCCCCCGCATGTGTCCTGATGATTTTATCTATTTGTCTTAAATTGTTGCAGGGTTTTGGTGGGTAGGTGGATCCACGGGTTAGGTTAGGTTACCTTGTGGGGCAAATGGCGTCGTGGCTTTTAGTCCTACACTGTGGCTAGAATAATATTCTCATAGTTCGTGTTGCACGTTTCATAGTAGTGGTAGTCTGGATCAATATTAAATTTCTTAAATATTTTAAGTTTCGATGAGATCAGCCCTCCCATGTTTGGCTTACAATGTTGTTTAGCCCTGTGGCCCTCAGTCCAACCACTTGGCTGGACGGTCCAGTCCCGCTTCATGCAAGTTGGCGTTCAATCCCTAACCATCAAAGTGGTTGGGCACCATTCCTTTCCACCCGTCCCATCCCAAATCCTTATCTTGATAATTTCAAAGTGTTGTATTGTCGAAGTGGCTTGATTTCCCCCTGATAATTCCCTCCCTCGCCCGTTCCTGGTATGGTACTACACATGGTCCTGAAATTATATTTGTCTAGTGTCTGACTTTCTCAAAGCAGTCTCTTTCTGAAGACGAAGTTTCCATGCTTGAATACAATAATCAAAGTGCACAAGTGCAATTAGAACAAATTTATACAGTTGAATAACTACCTTATTTTCCCCGTGATCAGAGTTGCATTGACTATTCCCAGGAATTTATTTTTACTTCAGCTCCCAGTTGTCGTATTCTTCATAACTCCACTTCAATGAAATAGGTCAACTGTGTTGGTTATTTGTTATCCGTACAGCAAATTTATACACGCATTAACTTCATTAACAAATGATTTATATGCATTCGCTTCGGAATTGTGCAGTAAAGCATTTTCCTGAAAGTGGCTTTAATGCATTTGTTGTTGGTTTCATTGTTCCTGGGTAGATGTTGTTGGTTTCTGGTGGCGGTAATTTGTACTAGTACGTAGGTGAAGCATTTTCAGCGTTGTGGTTCGAACAAATGTCGTCAGCGTAGCACCTGTTCCGGAAGTGTTCGGCCGTCATCAGTAGTCTCGTGTAAAGTTTTTCATAAAAGGAATTTGGCGGCTGCATGGAATGAAGTCTGGCCTTTGTTTGAGGACGGGCAGCCTGAGCAGGGGAGAGGAAAGAAGGAAGCTATAGGTCTCTTTCAAAACGTGAAGTAAGCAAATTTTTTTCGTGGTACTGTCAAATCATAATCTAACATTTGGTTTACAATTTCGCAACTTACTACCTGCAAGAAGCGTTTAAAAGTGCAGTATCTAGAAAGATTACTTGTCTTTAAACCTGATATTTCTTGTCAAAACATTTCTCTGATAAGTCAAGGGGCAGATAACGAGTTATTACATTTTTTTCATTGTTACACTAAATGTTTACAGTGCCTCCGTCAGCCTCCATCAGTCTTCACATATAACTATTGTACAGACGAGCATCATCAGTACCATGCTCATGTGCAGGTAGTGCTGGATGCTGGCTTACAGATGTTACTCCTCACAGGTCAATCTGCCGTTCCTGAGGCTTGAGGAGTGCAGACGACGCTATGAAGGAATCGCTGCAATCTCGTCGAAAATGCTCTGTACTCTCCATAGCTTTGCTGATGGTGTTAGTAAAGACTCTTGCAAGGTGAGTTTGATGTGTGCTCTTGTGCTGACCACCGCTAAAACTTCACATTGAAAAATTATTGGTTATGCAGTACAAATCTTACCGCATTGATTTTAAAATGTTTACCTTATAGTTTTATGTCCGGGGACAGGCAGCCAGTGTGTTCTTACACAATAGGCTTGTGTAGAGTTCTTGCCCCCTTCCCCCTTGTCCAACCACTTGGCCTGGACAGTAGAGCGACGGTCTCGCGTCATGCAGGTCGGCGTTCATTCCCCGACCGTACAAGTGGTTGGGCACCATTCCTTTCCCACCCCCCCCCCCATCCCATCTCAAATCCTTATCCTGTCCCCTTCCCAGTGCTATATAGTCGTAATGACTTGGTGCTTTACCCTGATAGATCCCTTCCCCTCCCCCCTTTCCAGGTCGAATTCCTGACCCCGCGCAGGATGCCAGGGGAACCGGTGGCAGAGTGGACAGAACACTGGACGCGTGATTCTGTGGTCCCGGGTTCAATCCTGGACGCCGGCGAGAAACACAGGCAGACTTTTTCACCCCGATGCCCCTGTTACCTAGCAGTAAATAGGTACCTGGGAGTTAGTCAGCTGTCACAGGCTGCTTCCTGGGAGGGTGGAGGCCTGGTAGAAAATCGGGCCGCGGGGACACCAAGCCCCGAAATCGTCTAAATATAACAAAGATGCAACCCCACAACAAGCTAACTATCTCCTGGTACTTGTTTAAAAGTGAATAGGACGCTAGGTGACGGCAAATACTCCTAACCATTTGTCCCGCCCGGGATTCGAACCCGGAACTCTTGATTGAAGGCGAGAACAAACCCGACTATACAAATTGAACCCAAAATAGAGTAGAAGACGTGGGGTGGGGTGGGGGGGGTGGGGTTTGTGCTAACAAACTGCCTGTATGCTAGGACAGGCAGGACAAATTGAGGTCGAAATTTAGACACGCCTGGATGAGGTGTCGGCAGTCTGCTGCACTGATTATGTACCTCAATTCTAGTTAATTAAAACTAATACTAGACTTTGAGTTTTCAGAATTGTTGGCAGTTTTCTTGCAAATATTTAAAAATATTTGATTATTATAAGCCCTCTTCAATATTCTTGTCGAACCATATCATACAAATTGTTAGTCCCTGAAAACTATTAACAGTCAAATTGATTTTCTCAATGTTCTGCATTGCTGAATAGTTAAATTTCTTTGCTAATCTATATTGTTAATTTGTATGGGTCACTGCCTCAGTTTTTAAAATATCAATCATGCTTTCCATTGAGAATATTTGCTGAAACGTTAATAGTAAACTTTTGAACACCTTCGGTATTGCGTTCTCAGTAGACCGAATAAGTGGCCTAAATTTATTAATTGCAACATTTCCCTAAATTTATTATATATTGTGATTAATATTGTTTTGGTAAGGGTGATTCTGGCGGTGCCCTGATCACGGAGGACGCAGGAGGGCGGTGGACGCAGGTGGGCATCGTCAGCTTCGGGTACGGGTGTGGGCGCCAGGGGTACCCCGGGGTGTACACCAGGGTCACCCAGTACCTTGCCTGGATATACCTCAAAATTATTCAGCTGGACGCTGAATCAGAGTCCTGAAGTCTTAAGTTACTAGCAATTGTGAACATAGCTACCTATCATTTGGCTTCTATGATTTAAGTAGAGAAACATTCCTGTTTTAACTAGTTTATTACATGGTAACTATTTGAAATTTGGTTAATTTTTTGTAAAATAATTTTATTAATGGAAAGACATTGTAATTTTCAAATTTTGGTGTTCTCTCCAAATACACGAAACTTGATGAAATGGTAACAAATGATTAGTTCCATGTGATTTTAGTGATTTTTAGCAATATGCTAATAAGTTTGTTTTTAAATTAAATAAGTGTTAAAACTATTAAATTGCTTGAGAGAAAAGGGATATATTCTATTTCAAACTAGTTTACAAATTAAAGATTTTAAATCTAAATGATCTTTTTCCATGACTGGGGGGGATGGGAAGAGATCCTAGTTTCCTCTCTAGTACTTTATCCTTGTAGATGGCAAGTAAAACTTCAAAATGATTCTGATGCATGTCAGGTCCTCGGCGAAATAGACATTACCAAATGTTATACATTTAAATTCTAAGAGCAATTCTGGCTGTTAGGTTTATTTTTGCATTTGAATTATTTTTCACCGCCATTACCTCCCCACTCCCTCCCAGCGGAACAAAAAATTAAAATTTCATAGATGTTGGGGGGGGGGTGGGGGGGGGCGAATGAACAGTCGTTAGGATTTTTGCTTGACGTTGGTCCCTGGTACCAAACCACTTGACTTCATATTGTTTCGAGCACATTTGCTTAAGCATTTTTTCACATTTTCAGTTGTGTATATATATATTATATATTGAAATAATTTTAAATGGCTGAAGTCTGGAACCATAGACGAAATGACTGAACCTGATATTTTAAATTTAATTCATAGTACGTGTTGAGTGTCTCGACAATGATATACAATAGACGAGGTAAACAGTCACTTGCCCTATGCTTCCAGACCTGTTAGGCACTTTTCTTAGAGTAGTAAACGCAAAAGTTGATGTATATTTTTGCCTGAACTTGAGATTCATTCAATGTTTCTATTTACTATCTGTTGTAAAATGACACATGTGACTTGCATTAAATTTGTTTTATTAAGTTTCTCGTTTTATTGTAAAGAAAACTTTATGCTTGTATTTTACAAAACTTGGTTAGCTCGGGTACCTATGTACTACTAGGTGAATAGACGCATTAGGTGAAAGTGGTATCCAAACCTTTCTTCACTATACTGAGCTGTAGATAAATTACGTTGAGGCTCTGCTGTTGGACGGTTTCCTGCAATCACTCCTGTAGTTAAATTCTAGTATTAATTCCAGTTTACAAATATCCTTTACCTTCAATAAGTACAGCACAGATCACGTTGTTCACCTCCTTCAGAGTTGCCCGTCCTGGGAATCCCCTCACTTTCCAGCCCATCGTCGTGGTGAGGGGGAAGATGAGGGGGCGCTTGGTGGCCGGGTGTCAGTGTGATGCTCCATTGGGACATGTTCTCCATTTTTTTTAAGCCTTGTGCTCCTGCTGCCGTCTTTACTAATTTTGCTGGCCGTTTTTTTTCCTCTCCGTCTTTACTTTTCTGATTGTTCATGCCTGCCAACATGGTGCCGTTAGAGTATATGTTCAGTTGAATTCCGTTTAGACGCCGGGTGATTGGGAAGGTGCGGTCTCCTATAGAACTGTACTACCCGACGTTGTCGAGCGAGGGGAAAAAGTTTCTCACTGCCTTCGTTGCTGAACCCAATCTGGACAGAGATGGACTGGCTGGCCTTGAAGTGACAATTGCGGGGTGTGCACGATGCACCTCTGGGGTGGGAGGGGGGGCCATATCTGCTTCCCAGGCCCATAATTGTGACTCCATGGTGGGTGTGGGGACTTAATAGTGGATGCAGTTATTTTCTTGATCATTCTATACCGACTTGACACTCATTCAACTTAGACTCGTAGGGTGGGTGACAAGGCGCGCCCCCCCCCACGTCTTAATATGATGGAAATCCGGATTGTATAGCCCCTACTACGTTGGGCCCAGACAAAGCTGCTAATCTGGTTCTTCAGACTGACACTGATCTCCTCCCACCTCTGAGTTGAGCCCCAAGTCCCCCAGTGGTGACCACCTCATCACCTGGCGTAACTCTCTCTCGTAACGACTGTGCCTTTTAACCCCCCCCCCACTATCCTTTTACTGGGGGTGCTCGCCACCCTCGCCCCCCACACTCGAACACACAAGATTCCTTCCCCGTCTACTGTGTTCCACCCCCTCCCCGCTCAGCTCGTTGTCGCCGTGTGGGGGCTTAGTGGACACTGCCGGAGTGTGATGCTCCTTGGGACAGTCCTCTGTCCTTTTTCTAGCCTTGTGCTCCTGCTGCCGTCCTCTCCAATTCTGCTGGGCATCTTTTCCTTTTCCTTCTGTTTCGTTTTTCTCCCCCCTCTTCTCCTATCTGCTTGCCGTTTCCTGCCGAACTTTTGCTCGTTCTGGTTCTTCCCTTGGACTTCATCTATTTTGACGCCCGGGTGCTTGAGGCATACTCTTGCACCCGTAGAACTGTAGTACCCGACGTAGAGAGCGAGGGGAACCTTTTATTGTCAATCCCCCTTTAGTCACTGAACCCGATCTCGACGGACTGTCGGTTTCTTAAGGTGACGTTTGTGGGGCGTATACTCACGACGCACCCCTAGGAGGCCCCGGCAAGATCGGCGATAGCTTCTTGTTGGGTGTCCTGCCTCTAATTGTGGCTCCATGGTGGGTGTGGGGGCACATTCGTGAATGAATTCTTTTTTCGTCATGATGATAACCCCTGTTTCGGCTGCTTCTGGTGTACCTTCTCAGGCTCGTGGGGTGGGCGACCAAGCCCCCGAGTCGGTCCGTATTGGAAGACCGGGCTCTGTAGCCTCCGCTGCATTGGGCCCCGACCTTGCTCCTCCTTTGGCCTCTCCGACTCCTTCCCCTGGCTCCCCTCCCTCCTCTGTGGTTGGGTCGAGCCCCAAGCCCCCAGTGGTGACTACCTCGTCCCCTGGCGCGGCTCTTTCTCTAGTTGTAACTAATGCGCCTTTTAACCCCTCTCTCTCTGGGGGTTCTCACCGCCGTCCTCGTCACGGCCGCCCTCGCTCGATTCCTTCCAGTTCTGCTACCTATCAAGCTTTGTTTGGTCCCGCGTCGTCGGCCAAATATTTTGATCTCCTCCCTCTTGATTCTGCGCCTCCTGACGATTTCTCCCTCCATCGACATCTCGTTGATTCCGTGGATGCCTAAATTACTTTCAACCCGATTCGTCTCGGTACACGTGTCGTTGCTGCTCCTTCTCAGGATGCTGCTTCCCGCTTGGCTGCCTTATCCTGCCTTGGCGAGACCCCTGTTCGGGTCTCGAAGAACGCTCAGTTGAATGCCAGTGTTGGCACTATTTTGCTCCCGCCCCATGTTGCGACCGGTGTTCGGGACCTGCGCGACTGCCACGACGATATTCGACATATCCTTGCTGCCCAGGGCCATTCTATTCTCCAGGTGGACACGTTTACTCGTCCCCCCTCGTGGTAGTCGCCGTCAACTCCTCCGGGTTGTGAAGATTACCTTTGATGGTAGGACCCTTCCACCCTCTGTCATTCTTGCTGGTGCCAGGTGCTCTGTCCAGGAGTACATTCCTTTTCCTCGGCTCTGCAACAAGTCCTGGAGGTTTGGGCATGGTGCCCTCCGCTGCTCCGGGACTGTCTCTCTCTGTCCTTTGTGTGGTGGCGAAGGTCACTCTAAGTCGGAGTGCGCTTCTCCCCAGGCTCGTTGCCTCAACTGCGGTGAGGCCCATCCTACCTTCTCCCGTGCGTGTGTCCATTACAAGCTTGAGGCAGCCGTCCTCAACTTGAAGCACCGGGAGCGTTTATCTTTTCCTGAGGCGAGGCGCCAGGTTCGCCGGCTCCCGCCTTATGCTAATATCTCTTATGCTCGCGTGTTGCGCTCTTCCTCTCCTCGTCCTTCCCGCCTTCCTCAGACTCACAACCGTTTCCGGGCCTTGGACCCTGATGCGCCCACTGCCCCCTCCTCTGTCCCTTTGGGTTCTCTCCCGAAGGATCCTCCTCCTGGTCCTCTGTCTGGGGTTCCCCTTCCTTCTACCCGGTCTGTCGTGTCTTGTGTCTTCTTCCTCGTCCCCCCTCCGATCCTCCTTCCCATCCTCTTCCTCCTCTAAGTCGTTCCTGATTACCGATAACTTAATCATTTAATGTTTCAATATTTCATGCATGTTTCCACTAAGGGAAACTGCAAGCCTATCACAACTCTGAATAAGAGTAATTTCCCAAGAGATTCCCTAGTAATTTCCCTAGACTCCTTGCCGGAGCCTGTGCTCCTGCTGGGTGACTTCAATTGTCGTTATTCTCTTCGGGGTGACGTTCTGACGAATACCCGGGGTCGCCTCCTTGAGCCGTTTCTCCTCTCTTCTTCCCTGTCTCTTCTGAATTCTGGTGAGCCCACTCATTTGGACTCTCGAACTCGCACCCTTTCTTGTCTTGATCTTTCTCTCTGCTCTTCTTCTCTTTACTTAGATTTCACGTGGCAGGTTCTTGATGACCTCCATGGAAGTGATCATTTCCCCATCCTTGTTTCCTTTTTCTCTTTTCGCCCTTCCCTCTCTTTCCCTAGGTGGCAGTTTGCTAAGGCGGACTGGACCCTATTTTCCCTCAGTGCTACTCTCTCTCTGACCTCTCCCTTCTGCCCCTCTCTCGCGCTCTCCTCCTTTTTCATGACACTGTCTTCGACGCTGCCCTCCGCTCTATTCCTCGCTCTTCCTCTCGGGGTCCACGGAAGTGCGTTCCCTGGTGGAATGCGGACTGTGCTCGGGCTGTCCGCTGTAAGCGTGCTGCCTGGAAGAAGCACCGCCGTCGGCAGACGACCGATTCTTTCCTTTTCTTTCGGAAAGCGAGTGTGGTGGCCCGTAGGGCCATCCGTACGGCTAAACGTGAATGTTGGGCATCTTATGTCTCGACAATTACGTCCGAAACCCCTCTGGCCCAGATCTGGAAGCGTATCCGCAAGATAGCGGGTAAGTTCGTTCCCGATGTTTCACCGGTCCTTCGCCTCCATGATACTCTTGTGGCGGACCCGTTGCAGGTCGCTTCCGAACTGGGTTCCCACTTTTCTTCTGTTAGCTCTGGTCTTCATCTTCCCCAATCTTTCCTTCTTCGTAAACCTGTCCTTGAGTCTCGTCCTTTAGATTTCTGCACTCATCTTCAGCTTCCCTATAATGATCCCTTCTCTCTCTCAGAACTTCGTTCTGCCCTGGCCCTCTGCGGTTCTACGGCGGCGGGCTCCGATGGTATTCATTATGAGATGCTTCGCCATCTCCCTCCGAGCACGTCTCAGTATTTACCGAGTCTGTATAATCGGATCTGGGAGTCGTCGTCAGTCCCTGAGGACTGGCTCGATGCCGTTGTCCTCCCTGTTCGCAAACAGGGGTCTCTGGGTACTTCCCCTAAGGACTTTCGCCCTATTGCTCTCACAAGTTGTGTCTGCAAACTCTTTGAACGTATGGTTAACGTTCGTCTGATGTGGTTCCTGGAACACCATCACCTCCTCTCCCCTTCTCAATTTGGTTTCCGCAAGTGCCGCAGCACGACAGATGTCCTGGTGACCTTGGAGGTCTATATTCGTACTGCTTTTGCTGCGAAGACCTCCGTTGTTGCCGTCCTTTTTGACCTAGAAAAGGCTTACGACACCACTTGGCGTTATCATATCCTATCTCAACTTCATTCTTTTGGCCTTCGTGGTCATCTCCCTCTCTTTCTCCGCAGCTTCCTCTCTCGTCGTTCCTTTCGGGTGCGCCTTGGTACCGCTCTCTCTCCCTCTTTTCAGCAATACGAAGGTGTGCCCCAGGGTAGTGTTCTGAGCACTACTCTTTTTCTGGTTGCCCTCAATGGTCTTCTTTCCTCTCTTCCTTCTGGTGTCTTCTCCGCTCTCTATGTCGATGATCTTACCCTTTGTTGTCAGGGTGATGATTCGCCTCTCCTTCAACGCCGGCTTCAACTTGCAATTGATGCCGTGTCGTCTTGGGCCACGGGTCATGGCTTCAAGTTCTCTACTTCTAAGACTTGTGCCATGACTTTTACGCGGAAACGGGTTGTTC